AGTTTCTGCTCCAATTTGCCGTGCACTTAAACGGGGATTTTCCTGCAACTTTAATGGAATCTCCAACTGATTCGCCTCATTGGTGACACGTGGATTATTTATACATTTTTTACTATATTCCACAGCTCCACTTCCCGTAGTGTGGAAAATGTTTCCGGCCTTGGATGTCGCATATTACTGTACCGTTGCTTATGAATGCCAGATGCTAGGAAACTATTCCTTTGGGCTTCGCCGAAAACGAACACCATATTCACCATCTCTTCTGCAAAAAAATTCATTTTCAAAAACGTTTTTATTATAATGCTCACAAAGCTAATATTGACAGTTTGTAACTAATCCACAATTTATTTGTTTCCAAGGATTATGCGATATTTTAGGGAATTAAGCCGTTCCATAAAAGACGTGGTAATAACCGACAAAATAGCCGTGAAAACCCTTTTGTGTCTGGTATCAAAGAAAAGCTTATAAAAAATTAAATCCAAACTTGCACAAATATACAGGGTGATGCATTTGAAATTTTTGAGAAAAACCACAATGTGCGCTTTTGACCACCCTGTATCAGCAAAAATTTAAATTCGAAAAAGTAACTAATGAGATATAAGCTGAGGTATGTAAGTTTTTTTGATACAAAATTCAGCACTCCAAATTTCAAAATGGCGGACTGAGGGGTTGCTGAGGTGGGGGGTTTTTCTAGACAAAACACATTATATCCCAGTAGCTAATTACCAAAATCCCATAGTATGTTATATCAATTTTCTTCTTTTGAATTCGTTTATCCAAATATGCAATAAAATTTGAGGCATTCCTTTTGAAAAATCACAACTTTGATATGTAGGTCGCAATTGGGACACCGTGTATAATGGTCAATATTTTAGAAATATTTCCTCAAATGTCATGTATAACATCCATTAAATAGATTTTTCCGAAATGTATTTGTTTATGAGAAATATTCCATCCACACATGGATGGGCGACCCTGTATATATGTTATATATATATATATATATTTAATTACTATAAAAAATGGCATCAAGGAAGTTGATTGTGCACTTCCTATGCCACTCCATCTTCAGTTCATAAGGCATTATGTATAACAGAGAAACCCAACGGATCAAGAGAGTCAAACAGGCCCATGTAATTAGTCGACAGATGTTCCTTCCCTGCCCTACTGGTAGTTACTGTCCATCTGGAAACGTTGCCCCCTCCCACATCTACGCGGCACCACTGTAGCGAAATATCGCGGTAAGCTTAGATAGTAGAAATATGCGCATTGAAAATAGTTTTAAAGGAAAAGGGGAAAATAGGTGCCTAGAATTATCGGAATTGGGAGTGATTGAATATATTAACATTAAAAAAATTTCATATACCGTCCCTTACCCCTACAACCCCGAATGTCAACTACAAACATGTTTATGAGCGGTTTTATTTTCTTCACGTTTTTGCTCGAAGCTCCGCCGGCACTTGACCAACCTTAAAAAACTACAAAGTATTTCCGTCTTTGGCATAGTAGTGACCTTGTGTGAAAATTTGATCCGAATCTAAGCGGTGCTTCCCAAGTCGGCGGTCCAAAGATGAGCGGACAGACAGACAAGCATTCCGACGGAAATAGGCGACATGAGTTTTCATGACGTACATACACAAAACCATAATATCTTATTTTAGAAGTTTTTCACGGTTACAATACTTCCTCGCCCAGTAGCGTAGGAATCAAAAAGACTTCAAAACTTCAAACCATTATGCAAATAGGCTGTGAGCTATACTATAAGCCGATCGATAAATTTGGCTATTTGCTTTTTTCAGTTTCTGACCTTCAGCGAGGCTGTAATTGTCCGTAGAGATGCTCCAGCTGCAGAGAAGAACGCCAGTCAGACGATTGATGAGGCCCTCCAATCCTTCAAAAGTGGCATCGATGACTTGGTGAAGAATGTACAGGTGAGCATACGTATGCCTGGAAGTTGGTCAAAAATTATTATACTGATATATTTTTGTCGTTAACAGCATTACGCATTTAACAATTTTCGAGATTCAAATACAGGTGTTCGGTCTGATATCTCCGTTATTGCATATAGCGTCTAAAAAGGTTAATCACAAAAACTATAGCCAACAGTATACTCCTGACTTGGAAAATGTTTAACTGTGCAGGAGTATTACTTTATAATAATAAATTTTGGAAAGTTCTCACTGTAGACTTTTATAGGCCAATTCATGCGAAACAGTTTGACGTAATATACTATAGAGTTTTATTTAATTGTTGAGATATTGAACAAATAATGTAACACCTAACACTTATTCTGTGGTTTTTGATGGGGCTACACTGTCTGGCCGCTAAATCAAACAAAGAGACTCTCAACTTTGGCCACGCGCACCTCCACGATTGTTATAGCTAGAGTAACTACCCGTAAAATATTGTTAAAAATGATCAGGAACGTCAAAATAGGAAGTTTGAGCGTTTTTAATTGTTATGATTTTTGCCATTTTTCTTCACCGCCACTGGATCGATTTCTAAAAACTACAATTTTTCCAATCCTTGACATACCAGTAACCTTGTGTGAAATTTTCATCCAAAATCGATTAATACTTTCCAAGTTATAGATGTGCCAAGAATCAGCGGGAAGGCAGACAGAGCGACGAAAATGGGTGACATGTTGTTTCGTGAGTGATCAACATGACTTAGACATCCAAAAGTCATAAAATCTCATTTTGCGCGATTATAATACTTCATCGCCCCTAGGCGTGGGTGGTTAAAACGACAGTATCCAATTATTACTCATCGGGCAATCTAAATTGAAATGAGAACTAATTAATCGACATCCTGCACACATTTTATAAAGTGCGTAGATTCACAAAGATAATTAGAAAATTAGTAATTGCTGCTAATCCATGCATGACACAGTGTATTTGTTAAACGGAAGCAAATTAATTTTGTTTGTCAAATATCAATTTGGTACGGTCTGCTAGATCTCGAAAAATATATGCAATTGTTTCATGGAACAAAACTAATGTAGTTGATATGTATGTAAATTGCAATGTGAACAAAAATATTTGCTATTTGCTGCGACATAAGACAGCGACCCGAGATCAAGCTTGAGACCCTAACGCGCGACCAGAATCATGACACTGTTATACAGTCACTATGGAATATTCGGAGTCAAGTTAAAAAAATAGCTTCGAGTAGGTTGACTTTGCACTTCCTTCGCAACCTGAACAGCTCATAAAGGATTAGGATCAGCACAGTGTAAGCCCTCTAAGAACCTTTCACGCCCGCACCCTTCTCTTAATATATACTTTCATAATTTCAACCAAAAAGATATCGACGCACGTGTATTTGAGATAATGAGTTAAAAATGAATCACTAGTGTCGGTCATTAAAGAACACCTAGAGCTAGTGTCAGTTTTGTTGGAGGTTACAGGTAGGACAACTCCTCTTCCAGGAGTATGGAGCATGGCAAATAGATGTGTGAAAATCCTCAAAACCTCTTTTTGCTCAAAATCTAACATATAGTAAATTTTCAGATACATATAATATGTTCTACTAGACCGCAATTCAATTTTATTATGCTTCGTTGTCGGTCTGATGGTACATACATCAACACTTACAAGTACAAGTATTATACACTTGTGATATGCAGATACATACGTTTCACCTTAAAAAGAAATTAATAAGGAAGTTGAGGTCGATTTATAAACTCTGACGCTCCGCACCACTGCCGTAACGCAAAACAGAAAAACAGAAAAATCATGCGCCTGACGTTAAACTGTTTATAAACAAGAATTCCACAAGGTTAGTCCGCAACGCTGACGAGAGACTTGACAAAGACAAAGATTCAAGCAATGAATGGGGGCCTGCTTTTTCCTCTCTTCGACATTAACATGTGTATTGTTTTTCATTTGTAATAGGCGTGGATTACTTTGAGATTGTTTGATATATTTAGTTTAATTGAATAATTATATAAATTTGATGAATGGTCAGGAGATGTGTGTTACAAGTGATGAGGACATTGCATCTGGTTTTGTAGCTACCACTATTTATAGGTCTGAGTTTGTCACTCGTGCATTTATTTCGTAAAAAAATCGATGATGCTAGAAAAATTTATTTGAGATTGGAATCATCTTGAAAATTCATGCCGTAGTCTTAGTTGGTTAACCTTTTTCGCGAACGGAAGTGCCAGGGAGAGGAGCGAGACCCCCCCCCCCTATGAGAATACGGTTGGACTTTAGAATAGACATATTTGGCCTGATTTTTGACCACCCCTTGAGAAAATTTGCTACCCCACGAAAAGTTTTTGGAGCAGGTACACTTTCACAGAATGTTATCCTGTGTCGAAATAATTACCAAAATCGACCACTCCAAGTAAAACAGCAAGCTCCAATTGGAAGTATATGCCGGTTAGCATTGTCAGCCGGGTGTCACTACTGTAGCCGCTAGATGCTGCCGATTCTGGAGCTGCAGTAGATACGGTCTACTTTTCATTGAAAAAAACTAGTAATACAGCTTTTGTTTATCCGACCACGGACGGCGAACCGTAGACAGCTGTTTCGACAGACCTCATATTCTGAATAGAGTTGCTCAGCTCTCATTCGTTCTACACCGTAATCAAGCTTACACCATGCTGAAGAATTGTCAAGTAGCACGAACACCTGACCATAGTTGGCAGTCTGTGGTCGGACGAACGGAAACCGTTATTGATTCTGTTTCGCACGCAGATAAGCACCAATATTTAGTTCAAACTTAAACGTACATCTCACAAAGTCTTCTTCTTTGCAGTCGAACGAGCTGTTCCAAAACCTCACCCAAACGTTGAAGCAATTCACCGACACTGTGCAACACCAGGGTGAGGAGCTTGTTAAGAAGTTCAAGGATCAAAACCAGAAACCCGCCAACTGAATGCATAGAAGCATCTTCAGCGAACGTTATTTATAATTTTTAGTTTAATTTGATGTCATTGCGTTTTTGATAATAAATGTTTCCTCAACTCTAACGTTTATTTAGATTACAATTTCATGCATAGCGTTACTTGGGGAAATCAGTGGAGCTACGCTATAGCTTATTCCTTCATTATCAAATATGACAATGCATTGGCCCATAATACCTATCATAACCATTCCCTGAAGAAACACCGAAGCTGTAAGATCTCACAAACCAAACTTGAAAATATTGTGCAGACCTGGCAAGTTCTTAGAAACTATTCGCATTGAATATAGTGTGTCACCGTAGCCGGTTGCACGTATAAAAAATTGCATCAAGAAGGTTAACTCTGCCCTTCCCATGCAACGCTGTCAGTTTTCAAAGTATTGCGTTGTAATTAATTGGATTTGGGGTGTAAATAAAAACATTTTCCTATTATAAAGTTGCTAACGTTTCGGAAACATTACTTTTTTTTGGGGCTCCTTTTACTTTAAAACTGTGTCTCGTTGTACTTCGTTATAGTCTCTCGTTGTTATATTGATCAGTTGCAGCCTAAATGATAACTAAGATGTGCATAACATTGGATAATTTTTTGACCACAACAGTTTTGAAGTAAGAAGAGCCCTGGAGAACGAAATTAAGTATCCAATTTTTACCTCTAAACATTTTTTCGAAAATGATTCTCTGAAACGCCAAAAAAAGAAGTGTGAGCGATTTTATTATTTTCATTTTTGGCCTTTTTCTCTGTCTCCACTGGACCAATTTCAAAACTATAAAGTGTTTTATCCCTGGCGTAGTAGTAACCTTGTATGAAAATTCCATCACAATCTGATGGGTGCATTCTAAGTTATAGTCGAGTTACAGATTAGCGGGCAGACAGACATATCGACAGAGGTGTCATGATTTTTCATGATGTCATATAACATCAAACAAAAAAAAATGTATCATTTTCGTAATTTAAATTGTTAAAATATTATCCTCTGTACCTTATTGTACAACACCACTTTTTGCTTAACAAAAGCTTTGATTCGTAATTTCCCTGTCAAAACCACATTTTGACGTTATTTTGCAATACATTACTCGAGTATATTGTACAAAACTGTGCATTTCATATTTCATAATTCTATACCTTTAGCTGTATGCTAAAAATTACACACAACCACGCATGCAGTGTCCCATGGAAATAATCAGTAAGTATTATAAATCCTTCTTATTGGCATGTCTTAGTGTTGATCGGCTGATCATTATAATCTGCTCATAGATGGACGAAGCTCCATGACAACGTGATATGTATAGCTAATTGATTAAAACAGGATTTCATATCTGTTTCTGTTAGTAGTCGCTATTGTTATTCTAATATATTTTATATATGAATATACATGAGAACCAGTTCATTAAATAAAATAGATATATTCTTATTAAGCAGTATCAACAAGTATGTAACAGCTTGTTACTTCGTGATTTGATTTATCGCGCATCGTTTCGTGGGCTCCCTATAGACTTGGTACACTTGGTACACAGATTGGCACGCCCATGACGCGTGGTCACCCTACTCTGCTTCACTTGTAGTATTAGCTTGAAATTAAATTAAAATTACGATGAGCTTTCATACGCAGAATAATATAGTAGTTCAATATATAAATACAACACTGACCCATGACACACGATTTTGACAAATAAACGAATGGTAATGTAATTTAAGAGTGAAGTACACACCTGTGGAACACTTTCCGAACACCACGTCTTTTTGACGTTTTGCGTGACCCGCATAGCACTCGAGGACTCGAGTACCTTTTGTCTAAATTTCTTCCTCATTTGGTAACGAGTTGTTAGAATTTTCACTTTACACGAAAAACAACGTTATTAATGTCTGCCGTGTTGAAATGTGAATACCATAATTTATCTTTGTCGATATTTATTCGTTGTTTTTCTACAATTGCTTGAAATTTCGTCATATAGCCAAAAATTGTCTTATAGAATAGAAGGATATTCACCTAGTTTATTCTTAAATGATTTGAAATACAAATTTGTCATACTTTCACCATTGTGATCTCCAAGTTTTGACGCTTCCAGTATCTCCAGAGATACACCGAAAAGGGAACGAATTTTCCCAAAATCATTTATATTTTTTCTGAATTTATTTAAGGTAGGATTTCAAAATAAACTGCACATTGACATTGCCACTTTTTGATCTCTGCAAGGTGGCATAAATAAAACATTAATGTGATTTTACGTCTCTTATCCCCCGTCACAATTGTGATTTTTCTTATGTATGCCATTTTAGACGAATGGTTTTTAATTCTGATTTCAAATATTATAGAATGCCATACATTATTTTATTTTTTTTTTACCTTGAGTAAGCCTTGAAATTATCATATAGTCATTTATTGTATAGAACATCAAAGATATAATTGGTTATAACTCATCGAATGAGAAACAACATAATGTAACTCACTTTTATTATTTAAGGGTATAAAAATACATCTCAAAATCGGAAAATGGAGAGTAGGAACTCCAAACAATGAACAATTCTTTCCAAATAGCTAAATAACGACAGTAACAATTTCCAACAGATTTCCGGATATTTACACCAAGAATTCTCAAGGAAATAGGCAAACATGGTTGAGTTAATTTACAATGAAGTAATGGCAATCCGTTTGTTGGTGTTAATATGGCAAATATGTCAAAGCATAGCGTTGTCAGATGGGTCGGACGGAATATCCTCAGAACAAGCACAAAAATCCCCCAAACCACATTTAATTAATGAAAAGGGGTAGGTTTGATTCAAAGAGCGAGAGGAAGGGCTGCTTTCAATACGCAAAACTTGTGATATCCCCCAGAACATTATATGCCCAAAAAAATTCCAAGTAAAAATCTATAAAATTTGGAAAAAATCTACCAACATGGCAATCCTGCCAAAGCACCACAGGCGTTAAGTTTCGAGACTGGATGGTAGTGGACATGAAATCGCGATTCAATTGTTTTATAATTCATTATTTATCGGATACTGTATTGGTCTCGCTCTGATGTGGTATGGAAGATTATTATCAAAATGCTTCCATCCACGTGTATCAAATACTATTACCAGCCTCAAAACAAATGGTTAATTCACAAACTAAATCTCTTTCTATCGAACAATGGTACATAATGTTGAAAACCCTGTAAAAACTAAGATCGATAAGAAAAATGCATTTGCAATTTTTAATGCCATTTGCATTTGCCATTTTTTAATGCCGCATTCAATAAATCTAGGGAAAAATTGTAATATACACATATGATCCAAGGACTGAAAATTTGTGGTTCGAGTGCTAAATAGTGTACGATGCATTCTTACTGTTTCTTTTTGGACTTGTTGGACTGGTTATAGGTGCAATAGGTAATCAATAAACTGTTTGGTATTTGGACTGGTGCTACAATAGTTAGTTATTAATATAATAGAGTAAATTCTCAGCAACTGTCAACGCTGCATTTTCAAGAACCTTAATTTTGGTCACGACAGTTTGTCATTCGTATAGAACATTCACAACTTTCAGTGAGAAACGATCGACAACTCCACTATAATGTGGTATAAGCTGGTCATATGAAGAGATTAAAGAAACTTTGTTTATCTGATTTTTGAACTGCCTATGGTTAGTAGTATTGGGAAAACCCTCCTCAGGTAGATTGTTCCACAATCTCGATACTCTAGGGACAAACGAGCGGTCTTATCGACCAGTTCCGGATGTACGAAGTTCGCC